CAGAACGAAACGCCGATCCAAAGCCAGAGCCTGCACCAGCACGGCACCAGCGCCGGCAAAACAAAACGCCGACCCAGCACCAGCACCAGCGCAGCAGCAGCCTGCACCTGCACCAACATCTGCACGACAGCATCACCTGCAAAACCAAAACACCGATCCAAAGCCAGCGCCTGCACCTGCACCGGCATCAGCACGGGAGCAGCACCCGCAAAACCAAAACGCCGATCCAGAGCCACACCATTGAGAAGTTAGAACCCCTATAGCCTGCAGCTATCTGCGAATTAAAATCAATGGGACTGGCATCATATGTATCATTGCAGAAATCATCGTCAGGCCTTCCCACGCCCATTCAGATTCTTGCAATGGACACTGCTTGGCCATTTGGAATTGATTGCGTGCTGAGCAATCCTGCTGAAAGGTTCAACAAGCAAACACTGGCACACGCTGATAATCCATGGCTGGGCAATCGCTTAGTCAGCACACAAAACAATCTGCAACACCACTTCCTTTCCATCATCGCGTTGGCCCTGCATCGGCGTCGGCACGCAAGCAAATCTCCTGAAAAAAATCGCTAGCACGGACCCCAGATAGCAAACGATATCTGGGGTGCAGGGCAGCATGACACCAGCACCCACACTCCAAATCGATCACTGCCATAAATTAACATTTGGCAGCCTGGAGCAACACCAACACGCAGGCTCCAAAGCTCACCTCTGGCACCCTCCAGCAGCACCAGCACGGCCACACAACTGGCAGCGGCACCCTCCAGCAGCACCAGCAATCAGGCTCCAAAGCGTACACAGGCACCTCTTCCTGTTATACTTGAAGTAGGAACTCTCGCTATCTGAAGAATTAATATGAAGAAAATGATCAAGTCCAAATGAGAGGAAGGAAGATGAGACGAGATGAGATTATTGTGAAACTGAACACGAGAGATGAGAAGAGAGTCTTCCTCAACAAGCAAACCCTCGGCCCTTCGCTCAGTCCCCAGAACGCACTGACCAGCCTTCTGCTGAAAGGGCTTCATACGAGTCTGTGACACTGATGATGCGTTTGGTCCAGCACTAATTTCCCGGAGGGCAGCCCACACCATATCGAATTGCTGTTGCAGTATCGCCCGTTCACAGATCTTAGGATAGATGACCCAAACACGCCCACATTGGCAAGCAGCAAACTGGCATTATTTATCACAATCCGAGTGCCCAGAACCACCTGGAGCGATCGACCTGTCAATATACAAGTGGGTGGGTACTGACAGAACAAGAGCAACACGAAGACATCACCAATACTTAGTCGTCGTTCTTTGTTGCAATGTGACTGTGTTGCCTTGGCTAGTTGGCCCCACTGGGACACAGCGTAAGCTGCCTGACAGTGTGCGAAGCCCCCAAGTTTTACGGGCTGGCCACTAGGCTGGCCTTCAGCCCAAACGTCTCATGATGCCTGTATGGAGCGCCCCAAAAAGGAAATGCTTCAAATGAATCTGTCGGCATGGATCGAAACTGCCAAACACCCGTCAAATCCACAAAGTCTCAGTTTGCCACGGGACACTCAAATCTAGTGTTTTGCTGGCACCCAAATACGTCAGCATGGTGCGGGCCTGGCAAGTCAAGACAAAAGCTACCAGACGATAAATAATTGAGTCTTGATGAATTGAAATCGCGCCGTCCTTGTTCGCTAAGAAGCAGCAACAAGCGCCTCTGCTTAATTTGCCACTTGATGACAACTAGCTTCTCAAGACTGAGTTCCGTACCAGTGCCCTCCAACTCAGCAGGCCTCCACTGACGTTGCAGTCAAAAGCCTTTGAGAAGGCTTCCTTGAAACACTCCCCCTCACGCAAAGCCTTCGAGAACTTGAATTGGCCTGGCTTCTTCGAAGAATGGCTCGACTCCTGCAGCCACAAGCTCTTCGCGGAGCCTGGTCAAAGCCATCAGCACAATCAACATGATGCGGCAAACGCTGCAAGTCACCTTTTACTAAAAATAAATACAAGCAATGCGACCTGAAGTGTTGTGCACGGATCAATCAAGCATGCAGCTGATGTTTCACAGTTGCAAGCTCTCAAACCCAATCAGCTCAAGGGATTCGATGCCTTTTGCCGGCAGAGTCAGGACCAACTCTTCCTCACCAAGACTGTTATGCGGCTGAACTGCACCTATATTTCTACAAACACATGAGCGTGCGTATTCATTCTGGATAAGTTCCAGGCCCAGCATGATGTTTCTTGGAGCATATGCACAGCCTTGCTTCTTGGTCCTCGGCTTCTGACTTCTCAGCCATTTCGCAATGCCCTGACTTTTAGGCAACAAGAAACCACACTCTAATTGAAGTCGCGGATCAATGTAAGGATATAAGGATATAATGATTGAATCTTCTTGTGTGGAGCGCATATACAAGAGTTTCTTGAAGGCTTTTGCTCTCAGAGCAGAACCACCAGCTACCGGCACGAAGGCTATTGGCAATGACACCTCCACAAGTCGCCCTTGCCTGGTGAAAAATTCCGGCTGGCTCACAGGCGGTTCTTTGGGGATGAGCAGAAAGACTGTGACTCACGTCTTGAGGAAAAGGTTCCAATCTCAGTAGAGGCCAAACTGAATGACCCCGCTCACTTTTCGCAGTCTCAGAAGGGATACAAACAATGGTGTGGGGAGACGTTTCCAGCAAACAGGATGAGGATGAACTGGAGGCTCTCAAGTAGAAGCCTGGAAGCATCAGTGGGTCTGCCTTGAGGATTTCAGATGGCACTTCATGCGAGACAGGCAAACAATTTTAATATGCACGGTGCAAAGCTAGAGCGATCGAACATATATGATCCCTGCAGCGGCTTGCAATTGCGCCCCGCCCCCTCATGAGAGAGACGGTCAGCGTTAAGATCGAAAACTACAACGTTGGGTTCGAACACTTGGGTTTGGAAACTGGGAAAGTTGTCTTCAGAAACTAGAAGCGTGGGGTTCAGAAACTGGAAACATGGGTTGCGGAAACTCGAACGTTGGGTTGGAAAACTCGCCACGTGCTCTTCATACCATGTTAAGCACCAGCATGAATCTCACATTAATGCCTTCCCAACCGCCCCCCACCCCAGCAAAAAATAGTTGAACCCGCCACAACACAACACCACACAAACTTGCGGACACGTCCACGTCACGCCCCTAACAGCCCTTCCGCTTCGTGGGGTACTCTAGAGTGAATAGCTGAACCCGCCAAAAGTAGTTTCTGAGCCCGACCAAACCTTTACTGAACCCGACAAAACCAGCGTCTGAACCCTAGTTTCTCAGCCCAAGAAGTTTCTGAACTTAACTTAGTTTCAGGAGGGAGGGAGGGAGGGAGGCAGGGAGGTAGGGAGAGAGAGAGAGAGAGAGAAGCGAGAGCGCTCAAGTGCTAACGCGGTAAAGGGCTAATGCATCTCGGACTGCGGTAAAGGGCTAGTTTCACTTCCTGTATTCCTCAGCCTTACGCTCTTGCCAGGGATTGCGCCATGCAAGTCTGGCACCAACGAAGGTGCTTTGCGTCCTTGGTTTGACATATGCATTATGAACGGAATCAACGTACCTGCCTTGCAGCTTGTTACAGTGACAACTTCCAATTTCCTCCTCGGGTTTGCAGTACAGCGCTAGTGGGAGTTTCGATTTTAAGCGGTTGAATGCTCGCTACGGAAACTACCCATTCCATGCAGGACACAACCCTGTGACCTTAAGAAACCTTGCAAGTGGGACCACCCGGGACCACTATGCTGTTCCTATCTACCTATATGTATATATATATATGTATATATGTTGTTGCAGAGCAGGGAGCACCTTGGGCAGAGAAGGTCAGGTGCAAACGAAGACACCTTCCTTTGCCTGTTGTATGTACTCCCAAGACGGAGTACTCATGCCTGCGTGAGGTGTACTGCTCCTTCCAGCCAAGATTCAAACCTTGAAACCTTGCAGATAATAGAACCCCGAAAAAGACTACACAGTGCGCACGTGCGCACGCTGATCTATTCCTTTTACTTCGTCTCTCTCGAGCCAGCGCCCCGAAAAGGCATCCAGTCTCTCTCTTTCTCATTGGTGCAAGTAAACTGCAAACGTCAAGACTAGCCAGGGAAGTCCACGACTTAGCTCGTGTCGTGTACGACTCGTCTGATGTTTAACCCAATGTAAAATTAGGTTGGTTTCGGCAGCTAGCAAAAATGCGGCACAGGCCTTTCCAGTCTCAATTTTGGCAAGCGATTCCTTGACAAGAGGAAGATGTTTTTCCTGGCTGCCAACTCCCACCTTTCCCCAACTTCAAATGACTGAACAAGTCACCTGCCGAGCCTCTGCAACAGACTGCGAATTTTGCTTGATCTGAGCGTCATGAGTGTCATGTCTTGATTGACTGATTGACCAATTTCAATTGTGGTTTCTCTCAGGACTCCCTTCCGCCTGATGCCTTTCTAGCAAGCCGGGATCGTCGTCCACTGGGACCAAAACATCCTCGCTTTCACACCGACGCATGCAAAAAAAAGAACAACAAGTACACGAAGCAAATGTCCAGCAGCACTTGGTCAACACCAATGAGCATTTCCTGGTTTGAAGCGCAACAAACAATGGGACTGGCATCACTCATTGCTTGCTACTTCAGGCTTCAAGCAAAGCCATAGCTTTCGCCCAGTGACTCTTTGCACTTGCAAGGAACATAGGCTGCAAGGGGACGGCTTAATGGAATGAAAAGATTGGTGCTAACTCTCTGCACTTCCTATGTAAGCCCACCACCGACACCATACAAAAACAACAGAACAAAAAGCATAGTTCATGCGCTTGCCAAATGTCTGCGAAGCGTGAAGACTAGGCAAAAGGCCAAACACAAAGACAATATATAGTGTAAGTTTTCAGGCAAGCGGGCATCATTTAGGGATTGAAACTTTGCCTTATTATCATCTTGGATTGGTCCTGATTTCTCCGCAGCTTAAGCCAAAGGAGTGCTCTGCATTTTGTGGTTTCTTCAGTGCTTGCAATTCATTCATGCGTTCTCCTCGGAGCCTTGGCAATTTCTGGAGTAGCAAAGGCTACAATGGCCCAGCCAGGACCCTCTGGGTCTGCAGGTCTGAAACTCACCTGAAGGTGCAACGGAAGAAAAGGATAGACACATAGACACACGTAACCAACAATGATGTGGTCTCTCCGAGTCTCTCCATCTTGCTTGTCTCATAAATCTGATGTCAAATAGTCAAGTTGTTGGTGTTAGTGCAGCTCAAAAGGTTTGCCTGCAAAATTTCATCCGGCCGGCCAGCTGCAGAAGATATCTGGCCATGGAGCAGCACTCAGACTGAAAAAGTCTCTCTGTGTCTATGAGATTCAAGATATACTATATATATATATACACACACTGTTTCTTTCCTCATTGTAGCATTGTTTTTCATTTCTGGCTATTGTCTTTGCACGATTTTGCAATGGTCCCGAAAAGAAAAGGCGCTTGGATAGAGGGAATTTGGCTTTAACTCTGGTATCACTCATTTGTTTGTACGCCGTTTGCTGGTTGTATCTCGTCACATCTCACTCAGGTACTAAAAGCAATGCATCAAAGGCAACAAAAAATGGCAACGGTTCTAGATTAGAGAGTATACAGTATACAGTATCAGAAGAAGAATCACTCTCGTGTCAAGCCATCAGATGTGCAGTGCACGTGCCTGCTGCTCCGTTGCACCCTGTGGTATCTTTGACAGAATCACCTCCGAAATGAAGTGCACTGCACAGTGAGAATCAGGTCTGCTGATGGCTGCTGGCTCACCACATTTGTCAATCCGGGAGCAGGTCCGCCAACAGGCCCCATGGCCTGCAATGCAAACAAAAAGCCTGGTGACGTCAGCACCGAGCCTGAATGTGCCTTCAAGCCGCCCCTTCCTATGTCTTCATGTTGCTTCCAGCCAAAACAAGTGGACAAGCTGCGGATCAAGTCTTGGCCAAATATACTGGAGGGGAGCAGTCAACATCAGTCCTCTTCGAAGCAAATTGAGCTGCCAACAAATACTGATCTAGCAGGTTTGATCCGCAGTTGTGATTTAGACTACATAGCCACGAGCTGACATGCCCCGAACTGCAGGTGGCATCTAATTGAAATTCAAACTTGCTCAAACACGAAAGGCCGCTGAACCGAAAGCCAAACAACTTGTTGTACACCGGTTATTGCAGCAAAAGTAACACCGTGAAGTCAAGCCACACATCGCCAATCTCACACGGCAGGTCTTCTATTGAGCGAATGCATCAAACACAAACATGCAAGCACAACGGACTTGTTACGGACTTGTTCAGGATTTGCTGACCACTCACCCTTCGCAGCTTGGAATGAGACGGGAATTTAAAATAGAGAAACTAATCATTTGCGGTAGAGCAGTCAATGAACAGCAGGCCTAAAACTCAGCCAATGCGACATGCATCAAATTGTTGGTGCCCGTTCCTCTACAGAGATTTCCTTGTTGCACGTCCACGTTTCACTGGTCGTGTTCAAGGATCAACCTTTTACAAGATTCCATGTATTTGCAGAGTCCTGCTTACAAATAGAGGTTCAAAGCCTCGAAAAACATGTTTGGCAGCAATATCGTAAACATAGGATGCAGGTGCTTAAGACTCCGTTCCAAAAGGAATTTCTCTACCAACACAACTGGAACATTGGGGACAATGGCAGCAAAAACACTGATAAATGTTCGTTTTCAAATCACTACCTTGGAAATAGCAGTGCCAACGGTTTCCGTGGCACCAATTCAATTCTGTTGGTTAGCGGCTGGAAAGTTGCACTTCTCCAGGCAAAGAATGCGTGCAGGAGCTCTGGATCAACACAGTTGTTGTGAGAAGTGTCACTTGGACGCTGGACATTGCAGGCACTGCGTCACTTTTGCTAATGCTATCAAAGGCCTTCCGTCTCATTGACATCTGCCCTTAAACTCTTTGGACTTCCAAATTGGATTGCAGTCATGGGTCTCAGCATTGAATTGAATTCATCTCCGCTGGAATTTTTACTTCAGCACAATTCACAAAACTAGCCAACGTATGCAAAGCACGAAGCCATGTGTGTATATACATATACATAAATAAATACAGTATATATATACACTGTGAAACATGTCATGTCCAGATCGTCGACATGTCCATTCAACCTCGGAGGATCGTGTTCCTCTCGCCATAGAGGCTCGAGGCGGGTTGGGATCGGGAGCCTGTGTCTTGGAGGAAAGGACATGAGCCATAGCGGCGAGGCGGCTGCTGGCGGACCTTGGGAAGGTCCTGGAAGGGTTGCGGTTCCTTTGACAAGGTCATTGGTTGATACACGTCGTACTGAAGCAGGGCTTCTTTCTTGGAACGGTGTTCCTTTCTTGGTGAGGGCCCGCTACCAATTTCACATTGGTAGCGGAGCCTAGTGCTCCTATAAGAGTGGGGTCCAGGGCTACATTGCACTTCAACTCCGTTGTGTGGACTTGCTTGCGAACGGACATTTCCGGACACGTCTTGATCTTGCATCGCCCGAAACACCGGACACGACGCGCAGCGTTTTTTGTGTGAAGATCATAGCGAGGTACAGATAGGTAGCTTGACATGATTTGACTTTTGCATGTATCCGCACCGCAGCTTGTCACAAGCGATTTGCTTCGGAAACACCGCGTGTTTTCTTTGCGCTTTTGCCCCGCGTTTTGTTCTGGCTTACGCTACCCTGCGCACTCCGCATTGGTAGCGGAGCTCCTGATCTTCGATCGGGGGCTGATGGCCGAGCATGCAGGCTCGGGGGCGGCAGCCCATGAGTGGGAAGATGCTTCTTCCCAGACCCAGGCTGCGCCTGGAGAGGGGTCGCCCGCGGCGACCCCTAGGAGGATGTCAGCGGCATCCGATGGTGCAGTTCATGGAACGCCACAAGACACACCTGGATCAGCACAGTCAGCTCCGGCGGCGCCCGCAAGACGCATGGGTGGCAAAGGTGAGGGTTGGACACCTTCGATGCCACCTCCGCAGATGCCTGTTCCTCCAGCGTACACCCAACCGTACCCGGCCATGTCACAGCTGCGATGGGAACAGGATGTCTATGGGCACTGGTGGTACAGCGATGGACAACATTGGCGGTATGGCCATGGAGGTTCACATCGCTTCACTGCACCACCAGCTGGAACCATCCCCACGGCAACATCGAGCATTGGTGCTTCTTGGCAGTTCGTCAACCCTGATACTGTGAGGCATCCCTCCGGGTCGAAGCCATCACGGGAACCAGCACATCCCAAGAAGCCATCCAAGCCGGAGTCACAGAAGAAGTCTCCGAATAAGAAGAAGCCTCCGGCGAAAGAGAAGAAGAAAGCACCTCCTCCTCCACCAGAGGAAGATGAAGATGATGATGACGACGATGATGGTAGTGAAGGTGGAAGCAGTTCATCCTATGAGGAAGTGGAGTGTGAGGAGAGTGAGGAAGAGGATGGAGAGTTCACAGATGATCCAAGTGTGGCAGCGACCCCAAGAGGAACTCCAAGAGCTGCACAGACGCCGAAGGCCGCTGCCAAGGCGAAGCAAGCAGCAAAACCTGCTGCAAAGCCGAGACCGGCGGCGCCGGCAAAAGCAAAAGCTGGGAAGGCTCGCCCAGCAGATCCTCCGAAGGATCCACAACCGCCGAAGGCCTTTCATCGGGCGGCCAAGGTTGTGAAGAAGAAGCCCAAGGTCGAGAAGGACCAAGATCCGCCTTCTGCACCGCCCTCAGGTCCCCCATCCCATGGAGGTTCGGCAGCGCCGTCGGATATCAGTACTGTGCGTACTGAATCCATCAAGGAACTGCTGAAGGGCAGGCCAGGCAGTTCAGGTGAGCGCAACCGCACCAACCTTGGGCAGGTCAAGCTCGAGGTCTTCAAGGGCGACAGGGCCCATTACCGGAACTGGATCAAGACGATTCAGGCACAACGGCAGCTATACCAACTGCAGGATGAAGAACTGGCCGTTCTGATGTTCCTCAGCTGCGAGGGCGAAGCTCGTGAAGTACTGAATCAACTTGAGATTAAAGACATGAGGTCAGCAGGAGGCCTCAATCGAGTACTTCGCCTTCTCGAGGACGCCTATGGTGCAAAGGCTGATGAACGCTTCGAAGAGAAGCAGTCAGAGTTCATGTCATACAGGCGCCTCAGCGGCCTATCTGGCCACTTTGAAGAGGTTGAGAACAGAATACCTCAAAGAAGACCCTGGCTCAGTGATCTCAGACAGGGCGTTCGCCCAGAGGATGCTGTCTCGAGCCGCGCTCACTCGCAGAGAACGATATGATGTGTTCTTTGCGGCCGGAGGTGCGTACAAGTCTGCTGACATTGAACGAGTGCTTCGCTTCAGGTGCAGTCAACTTCACTTGGATGAGCGCAAGCCCACAGCTCATCGAGAAGACCGCACAGCACCAATCCGCAGGCCGCCGCCTCGGAAGGCGTTCAAACGAACAGACCGCAGGGGTCCTTACAAGCCGACCCGCCATACACACTGGGCGGATGCAGAGGACGACTGGGAGTACGATGATGAGGAGGACTCCTTCGGAGACCCAGACAATGAGGATCTGGAGCCCTCATGGCAGAAGAAGACATGCCGGAAGAAGAGGCATATGAAGATGATGAGGGCTACTACGATGATGATGACGAGGACCTGGACACGGTGGATCGAGGTGCCCTCCAAGAAGCTTTCTCCGCCGGCTGGTCAGCCAAGTCCAAGACGGCCCAACAACGCAAAGGCCGTGGCTACAAGGGAGATGGCAAACCAAAAGGTAAAGGAAAGGGCAAAAGCAAGCGACCACCAGATACCAGGACCCCCGATGCCAGGAAGAAGAACTCCACCTGTGCCAGCTGTGGCCAACGAGGCCATTGGAAGGGTGATGAGGTATGCCCAAATGTCCGCTCAGGTAAAGATGCAGTTCACCAGAAGCGGGACAATGAGGCCCATTTCAATACGGGCACTCACAAGGGGCAGCGTCATCCCTCAGCAGGACCCGCCAGGCCAGTGAAGTCTGAACCACCGCCTGAGCGAGAGCCACTTCGCAGGAGGCCGCAGCCCCTGCCAGACCGGCGGCGACCGGCAGAACCATCGTACCCACCTCCGGAAAGGGAGCGAACGGGTACCAAGCGCCGCAGCGACAGGGGTTATTATGATGACTATGATGATGAGGCGCCGAAGATCCCTGAGCCGGGTACAAAAGGCTTAGCCAAGATCAAAGCTCGACGACCAGGCGAAGAAGAGTATCTAGTCTTTGATAGCATCCAAGATGCCATTGACAGTACAAGAACGTCACCGCCTCCATCTCCGTTGATGAAGCCTCAGAACGTGAAGAAGAGGACCTGGCCTACCACCTCAAGCTGTCGGAGAGTTCGCAAGCCTCCCGATCCAAGCAAGCAAAGGAGAAGGTCAAGGTGAAGCTTCTCACGGTGCTACGCTCACTGCTGGAGGATGAGAAAGATGAAGAGACCATCCAGCGGCTCCGTAAGAAGGAGAAGCGCCTTGCAGAGCGTGCCACAGGCAGGGGTACCGGTGCAACATCGAGCACAGAAGCTCGTCCAAAGGCCAAGCCCAAGCGCAAGAAGCCAGAACGCTTGGAGGAGGATGTTGGCCTGAGCACCGAGGACCTGGTGAAGCTGCTCCCCAAGATGTCCAAAGAGGAGAAGAAGATCCTCTACAAGCAGCTGAAGAAGGACCAGGAACGCGAGATCCTCGAGATCTTTGGCCGCTCGACAACCCCGGAGCGGTCCATGCTGAAGCGCCCTGAGCAGCGCAAGGGTGGCTATGGCTACTCCACGCCTGATCGACGTGGCAAGGATCAGGTTCAAGAGCCGCCAGAGAAGCAGG